CCTATCTCCCTTCAATCTTTCAAAGCAGTATAGAATCTTCAAGTACGTCCATATTCAAGTGGCAACAGCTGAAAACGTGCAAGCATTTTCAGCTCTTGAACCATAAATCGCAGTAGTGTTGCACATGGAGATTATGATCTCCTAGCATTGTTGTAGGGTGTTACATGGTAGTGCGCAGAGGTCCGCCAGCGTCTGGTGCCTGGGCCTCGCTGGCTGGCAGAGGGCAGCCTTCATCGTCGGCATCATCTGTTGAAGCGATGAAACGTGACTCACGGCCTGATGAGTGTGATTGGGGAACGTGTGAAGTTCATCCTGTCAAATTAATTGGATGTAATTACGGTGGGAAGGATCGTACGCTTCGTCCTGACGGATCCTTGAAATTGTAATATATAGAACCTGTCAGTGCTTGAGGGACATGGGGTGCCTCACATCACTTCTTTAAGTTTGGGTTGGTTCTTAAGTGATGAAATTGGAGGAGGCTAAGAGGAATGTCATTTTTGTTAAAGTCACAGGATCTTCAAGTTGGTTTAAAGGTCATTGACTTGTTCATTGGGTACATAAAGATGTAAGATCTAAATTGTATGGGAGGAAATGGGTTTCTTGATAGCATGGAAAATTAAATGTGTAGTATTATGTTTTTCATGTTTTTAAAGATTTTAGGAGTAAAAAACTTTACAATGGAATATTCTTATGGTAACATTTTGTGTCCATGCAAACAAAATTAGAGATGTGCTTTTACATTTTCATTATTTTGCTTTGAGAATCATAATGGGATTTTCTGAAAGAAAGAACTGCCTTTAAAAACAAGGAGAACCTGCATGCCCAATTTAGTATCTTTTTTAATACCCATGTATACACAAGTTGTATTTTAGTTTCCAAACAGAAATTTGAATAGAATTCACCACACTTTTGTTTTTTTTACTATTCATCGATTATGTTCTCCTCTATTTGACCACTACTGGCAGCTCCATTTCAATCATCACAGCCTTTAATTTCATTTGGTCCAACTTCCCCAATCTAAATCAATGGCATTGAGAACTTAATTAGAGTCTTTATTTTTTTGTACAATCTTAATTACTCCATGAATGAATGGAAAGAGACGACTTTCAAATCATAAAAGTAACCTGAGAGTAACAAGTGTTGATTGGACAATGGTGTGTGTATGGACAGGAGCCAATGTGTATGCTTGCAAACCTCTTTGATTGTGAGGGTTAAAGGAGAAGGGCGATTTTCCTTGAATGCTGTCAGCACCGAAATCGGTAGCCTAGCAGAGCCGGGGTAATATTGGAGTGCTTTGAGTACCTTGCAGGGTGGATATGTGTGCTTTATAAATATCCGATATTATTATTATATTAATCCTAATCCTATATCTCTTTGACAAAGTAAAGGACAGTGTAAATGTTGCAGAAGCAAATGTTTGATCCTCCTTCTAGAACAATAATAGTAAATGTATACCCTTGTAAACCTATTTGATCATAAAGGTTAGTAAAGGGGTGATCTTTAAGGGATACTATGCCTCATAACTCTGACAACAATTGTTGCATGGTCACCTACTATAACCACTAAACAACATTCTGACTTCAACTCTGGATCCAAAACTATATCTAACCCCAACCTTAAACCTAACCTAAAACTCAAATAGCAATCCTAACGCTAAACTTACATCTTTGATGAAATAAAGGAATGCATCAAATGATGTTTCACCCTCTCCGGGACCCAGAAAGTAAGGATCCATGGCCAAGCATCCTGTATGGAGTGTAGGTGGTCTGTGATGTGTAAAAATAGTGTCTTAATTTTGTATATTTGTGTTGACCTTGGGTTGAAGAAACACTAGAGATCATAGGCATGACTAAAAGATGATTACTATATAAATACATTTTTCTTAAACCAAAAAGGGCAAGGTTATTCATTCTGACAGCCAGAAAGAGTGGGTGATGGGGGATGAAGTAGGGCACTATAAGTCTGATGCAGAGTGAGAAAATACTTTTTAAAGCCAAGCTTAAAGATAACCTTTAGTACTGGTAATGCGATTGCATTGTGAAAGAAAAGGTGTGGAAAGGATCAGAAACAGTTAATCATGTAGCATGTAAGTATTGGTGTGCACTGCAAGGTTCTGGAGTCATCAAAATCATAATAAATTTGACAGAGTCTTGGTAAAGTAACAAGCACTGTACACAGAAGGCTACATATGGGACAACACACATATGGTGTCGGGGCTAGTACTACCTTGAGATTTTGTCTTTCTATGCTCTTTACTCAGCCAGTATACATTTTCTTCCAAAATTGTTTGGCACATGTCATTTATTTGTAATCTTGAACATTCAGTGTAAGTTTCGTTTGATTATGTGAGAATTAATTTTCTTTTTTTTTACCAGAACTGGAGTTTATCTTTAAATATAGAGCATCTTGTTATTGATATGCATGCACTCTTGATTTTTTTTAAATATCTCAAAGGGATTGGAGTTATCATTATTGTCTATATATACATGTACAACAGCGCTGTGACCCGATCCTTTGTGAGACATTCATGATATCTATTTATTTTTAAGACTTCATGTACAATTAATGCTCTTCAAGATTAAGTTTGTAAGACAATGATGATATAAAGTAATGGACTCATTGGTCATCGTTCAGTTTATCTTAGGCTTCCGAATAAGTCTGTGGTAAAGCATTTAACCAGAATGTAGGATTGACCGTAATTTTGATCCCTTCTTAAATTGGCGCCACTTTGACAGTCCCTGTTTCATCCACTTGGCCGGTAATATCATTTTCCCCTAACCCTATATGTCCTGTGATACATGTAAATCAAACAAACATTGAACATTGACTTGTTCCGTATTTAGAACATTGTGGTTGATAAATCAGGTTTCTTCCCTGTACCTAGGATCCCTGAAATCCTCTGTGGTTTGTGTATTCAGGGGTGTCGGCTTCCCCCGGCTAATCTTTTGATCATGTGATCTCATACCCGTCATATCACTGGTTTACCATCGACAGGCCGGCCGGCTGAACCACATTGTTTTGTTCCCATTCCTTCAGGAAACCACTAAGACCATGAACCAGAAAGCATAAATCAGGCAACTTCCAAGGATCTTCCCTTTTCTGCCCTCTCTTTTTTCATGGGGAAGATCCTTTCCGCTTAGTATGAGTGTAGCAGTAAACGGATCAAGACAGCTTTAAAAAACTAAGCAATATCTACAAAGTACAATGATCGATAAAAGTTCTTGAAAACGTGGAATGTGATTAGTTGTGAACAAATTCGAGAATTGTGGCACTTGTCAACTTTATGACACAATTAGGCCTAACATTTTTATTTCACAGCCATGCTAGCCAACGTGATCATTAAAGACTCAATGTGATTCACGAAGGAAGATATCTTGTCAGTAGAACACAACTGTTCAGGTTGTATTCAAATTGAAAGTGATTGTATTCGAGCTGTGATACAACAAACACTCCTTGATGGTTACCTAGACCCAACTGCTGTTCGAACTTCCGTAAAGCAATTGCTGACATTTACGGTGTTAAAAATATTCAAGAAAACTTTAACGACCATAAGCAAACTTTTTTGGTATAAATGATAAAACAAGTCAATAGATTGACCTCCAGAAGCCAGAGAGCTTATTTCTTAATGAATTGTTACTTCTAAACAAGGTCTTTATATTTTTTAATGTGTATTCCATCAAAAACTTTGAAAATAGAGGTTAATCATAGAAATTATTGGTAAGCTGATAAATGTCACAATAGTGCACTAACATGCAGTTCAAAATAAGATAACAATGTAGGTTAATTCAACAGAGAAGGGATTCAGATCAAAATCTATTTGACATATCAAGGATAATATGTATGTGGGAGGATTCTGCAATGGTGCCATTGCCAGAAATATTTAAGGCAGTACAATTCAAGATAATGCTGTATTTAAAACTTATAAAGCACTTGTTATGAAACTAGAAGGAAATATATAAATATTGTGCAATCAAAATTATATGCGTCATTTAAAATTGAGTAAGAGTTTTTTTTTTTTAAAGACCATCAAAAAAAAAAATGTTACATGTATCTGATGCAATTGTACTCGATGATGAACTGTTCTCTGTGACCTTTTAGTTGTATTACTAGATTAAACTCAAACTCAAACTCAAATTCAAACTCAAACTCAAACTCAAACTCAAATAAGATTGTTGTGATAGGTGAAAATTAATAAGCACAGAAGCTGCTTGCAGGCAATCCTTTGCGCAGATGAGAAGCAGGGTTTTGAGAGTTGTTTTCTGTAACCTTTCTGTTTTATTAGTAAGTTTGAAATTGTTGTGATCGAGAAGCACAATTTTGATTTGAGGATCTTTATCCATTCCCTTCGACCTTTCCATTGTATTAGTAGGTTAAATGAGATTGTTGTAATACGGTTCTTTCTGGTCCTTCCAGGCGGTGAGTCAAGGTTTTGCTTGATTCCAATTGCTCAAGTTCCCCCAAGAGAAGCTTTAGTTTGTCGTCAAACCTGGTCTGATTCATACCACTGTTATCAGTTCAGTTCAGATGTACTTTAATCTATAGCTCTACTTATTTAACTTGAAAATATTGGTTTGTGCAAATGCTGAGTTGCTGAGTTGATGTTTAATACCCTAAAAACTACTTGTACTTTGATTAACTTACACATACAGTTAACAAATAAATTATTCATACCCTTACCAAGTTTTGTAACTTTTAGATGTGTGAAAATTGATTTGTTCTGATTTCTAGTTCTTGAGAATGTGGCATATTAAAGATTATATCACTAATGTCATTCTGCAAGACATTAATCTATATTTGCCACTCTCAACCTAGGTGATGTAAATGGGTACCTGGCAGGAAGAAATTCCTTGAAATGCTAGCGCGCCGTAATGGGGTAATAATCTCTGTATACTTTGGAAGCGCTTTAGAGACTTAATTGTAATTCGCGCTATATGAAAGCTGAGTATTATCATTATTATTATTATTAACGGTCTCTCTCGCTTTCACTCTTGACCCTTCAGGATCGAGTTTTCAGTGAAGAAGGAAGGATGGGGTGGAGGAGGAACGAGGACAGTGAGGTTTGCTCAGGGTCAGGGAGACACTGCCGTTCTCAAGCCGTCCAGCAAGATACTGACCGTTAGCATTGGTAGTGGACTTCCACGCAACTCAAGTGAGTGCTTATCATTTACAGTGGTGTTCTGAAAGCAATGATACCTTTTAATGTCAGTAAAACTATGTTAATTGTCATGAGAAACTCAAGTTAGGACAGATCATTGGTTGATGTCTGTGTGAAGCTTTTTTGATCTTTTTATGTATTTCAATTTGGTGGCCCCTTTTTATAAGTCCTGCTTTCTCTGGGGTCACCAAACTATCATTGTGTTCTTCGTAATTCTTGATGCAACTTATTTTGATTGTATATTGATAGTTGAACAAATAAATGAAATTGAAATTGAAGCTGACTGTATTCATGAACAGGTAAAAGAGATATCTGTGCAACCACCAATGACAAGTCTAAATTCCACAGTTTCAGTTTGTCATTACGATTAACATTGTTTACCCTAATATTACACATAAACATAGTTTTGAGACTATGGCCCCTGTTGAGCCAGAAGGACATCTATTCATCATGAAAATTACGAGTGAATACCTTTCTGGCCCTAAACAGGTTCAATGCTATGTAGCTGATGTAGTAACCATGCCAAGAAGGGCAGAATCGTCCAAGCCAACTTTTACAGACGGATCATTGTTGTGCATAGATAGAGATTGACCTAATTCTAAAATCCAAAACTTATTTTGTGAAATTTGTTTTACAATGCCAAAAGTGGCACATCCAACCCTAAGATTGTAAACAGGTGTATAATGTTTATGTAAATGAAGATAGGAAGGCCTCCTTTTCTTCTTGAAATAAAAAAAGAGGTATATCTCATAGGATATTTTCATTTGTTCTTGGTTTAACATAAAGATTTGGAACTTAAAAACTCAACCTTTTAAAAGTGTTTATGTGCACTGAGAGGAGTAATAGGGGAAAGTAATTCACTTTCACAAACATTTGGCATATCTTCATTGGCTTATTTTAGGGAACATAAATAAAATTATGATTGTTTGAAGCAAGATAGAAAGATGAAGATCGATAAATTTATTTTTTATTCCTTTTCTTTCTTTAAAAAAAAAAGGACCTGGACTACGTGATGTCAAGGTGACGAGCAAAGACAGGCAGGCCGGTAACCGCGGCAACAGTAACCGTGGCAACAGTAATCGCGGCAATGGACATGTATCAAGGAGGCCCGCTCCCAGCCAGCCTGCCCCAGGCAAACCCACTGCTCCGTATGCCCTGGTACAGAAGAGAGGGGGTCCTACCAGCCCCACCAAAGGAGGTACAGTCTTGAAAATATATAATAATAATAATTATAAAAACATTGCTTATAAAGTGCTTACAACCATAGCCTCTAAGCACTGTAACAAACAAAATACAATGATAAACAATTACATATTAAACAAAACAAAAACATAAAATGCAAATCAACCTAGAAATTACTATACATACATCAATGTGAAAATGTGAATCTGTAATTTTGAGTTTTTTCATTAAACAGAAGATTTTTGTACTACATGGTTTTAAGATTTACAGTAACACCATGTTGATTCTTTTGTGGAAAAGAACCAGATTTGAAAAAGAACTGAAGTTCAAGTGTTTCAATATGCTCTATATCTGTTGGAAAAGTTCTAAAAAGAATTCTTTTGGGATCTTCCAAAGAAAGAAGCTGTGTACTACATTTTGAGCAGGATGCTCTGTTATCTGTCAGGAGACTACCAAATAACTAAGGACTAACCTACTTGGTTTTAGTTCATGTCTTATAATCGTCTCCACATGAAAACCTACAAAGAACACTTTAGAAGATTCACTGTTTGGATCCGCAAAATATAAACGAATTTCCATATTTTGTTGGCAATCACATTCACTTAGACCATGTGCATTATTGCTCAACATTTACTTAAGATATTACTCGTTAGATTTCCTTACATGTAACTTTTCTTTGCTCATTACTCAGCTTTAATCTTTTTTCTAGAAATTTCCATCAATTATGATTCATATAGGTTATCAAAAAGGAAAGGGAATTTGATATCTCCCATGCATAGGAAGGAAAATCTCCTTATATGGGGCCATTTCGGAAAAGCAAAATTATTTATGATGGTGTATGATCGCCAGAAGCTGCTTTCTTGCTGACATGCATGCAGTCTATCCTTGCGCTCAGGAAGATATAAATACTCAAGGACCTATTCAGGTGCATATAGAATTACGATGAACAGGACATCAAACTGAAGGCATGGGACCGTTGTTAATCAGCGCTGAAAATTAGAGCGAGGAGAATCATGGGATACATCATCTGTATTAGGAAAAGGAAAGGAGACTTGCTCGAGGCCATTACAACGATGTTTGATGGAGGAAGGGTGATAAAAAAAGAGATATATCTGGCCCTGAACGTATATCTGCGGTATAGAATATGATGGTCAGTTTAGCGCTAATAAAGTATGGCCTTCAGTTCCTTGACAACTCCTGCCTTATATCAAAATACTCTATATATCCATTGGACAGCAAAAATTAGGGGAATTCATCATGATTTTTTTAAGTTAAGTAAGAGAATTGATGTTATTCTATTTTCTGACCACATGTTGACTTGCCAATGGTGTAATATTTTTGTGTATTACTATTATTTTGTTTGCAGTATATTATATTTTGTCTGCAATCTTTTTTTTCTTCAAAGGGGGGAGGGGTCGAGGGTCTGTATCAAGCTTTAAAAATGATTGTAAATTGGATTGATTGACTGTAACATGCAGTTTGATGAGAGTCCTCATACAGGCTTTATGTCAGAAGTAACAGGTGACAGTTTTATCCTTTGCAGTACTGTTGCTGGGCAACCGTTTAGCCCTTGATTTTGGTATCATCCAGGAACGCCAACCCTGATGAAATGGAAGTAGAGCAAGACAGCTTCCTTCCGTCTTATTATCCTCTGCCCCAGGCAAGCAATCACATGAAATACTATTTAAAAAAGAGGCTCTTATGGCAGCCATATTTAGTTTTTCAGCCTGTGAAAAAGCTAAAGTGCTTTGCAAATCTATTCCCTGTTTTTGATCATTTAAAATAGTCAATCAAACAAATAGTTGATTTTCAGATTATCCAATCAGTTCCCAGGGTAGCAACCATATCACAGACTTTTCAGCCTGTGGCAGTGTTTGAGTGCTCAGTTGTGGCATGCTGTTGGTCAGTTGTTGTTGCGGATGCCCATTATTGTCATGGCAACATTATTTGTACATGCATGTATGTAGATCAGGACTCTGTCCTATGGAGAGTTATGATCAATCTTGATCTATCTCAAGTCCTTCAGTGAGTCACAAGCCTTATTCCTTTTTGATAGGTTTGCTGATTGATATCAAACTCATGTTGAGTTGCAATAGACTGGAATCAGCTACAGCTTTCTTTAAGACTGAGCCAAGTAACCGCAAGTAGATCTTGATAAAATAACCTTTCATTGAATTCCATTTATCTCCATTTATCTCCATTAATAAGTGAGAAGAATACATGAAAATGTAGGCTCAGGAAAATGTAATCATTGTCTTGAGTTTTGATAGCAACTGTTTTTTCTATATTAACAGATGAAGGAAGCAAAGGATTTGTTTTGCTATTGTCTGTGACTGTTTTAGTAGAATGAGAAGGCTTGGAGTGACTCAGTGATGCAATCTTTCATGTAATCAGATGGATTGTTCATCCCACTGTGATCCTTGATAGATAACATCTGGCCATCTATAGGTCATATGAAATGAAGGCATCCACCATGTGAAATAGAGGCATCCATTGCTTACAGGAAACACTGATACAGTCAATGAAACAAAGTCTCATCATAGGAGCCCAGCTGGTGGTACGGTGCTCCAACATTTGCTCTGGCGACAATTGCTCTCAGCTTTATTTTGTAAAAATGTTTGTGGGCTGCCTACAAGACACCATTAACTGCTCTGTATTGTCAGCGGTATAATGCCTTTCTTGTGGGCAGCTCATGATATAGGGTTAGGCTTAGGGTTAGGTCCAAGGTTAAAATTAAAAATGTAGGTCAGTGTAGGATATTGACCACAAGCAATTTTGTGGAAGCATACGCTGTACAACTTGCGGTAGGCCTACACCTTTCATCTGATTGGTCATGTGACCTATCAGTACTAGCTTTGATTTAGAGTGGAGATATAGCTTTTGGCAGACGTGAAAAAGAATTTTATGCTAAATGCAGTCTTTGAGTAGTCTTTGAATGAAGAATAGTTATTGCCTTATAAGTTGTTGTGCCTACAGTAGTTGTGTCAAATATAAAACTACAGTCCTCTTTTTATCAATACAGGGTATATGTTCTTGAACAAATAATGAATTGATCAGATCTTTATTGTGGATATCAGTGCCTTCCGTGTTTCTCTTTCAAAAACTTTAGAAACATTCTGCTCCACACTACTTTGCAAATCAACTATAATTGCCAGTAATGCTGTGTATCATATTGACTCACAACAACAACAATCAAAAGAGCAGACAAAAGTGTTCTTGTAAATTAATACCTGAATACTACTAATGAAAGCACTGCAAATAGCATGCCTGGAGAAAGAAGGTTGAAACCGTATCATTTCCCTTTTGAAATGTCCCACTTCCTTCAGTAAAGTTCATTGTCAAGTATAACTCTATTTTGACGCAGTCTATTTTCTGCTGTAGTATCTGACATTCCGTCTAATTAACCAATCTAAACTTAATTTGTATTGCACTATGCCAAGGTGATTATAATCTGCAGCGCCCTATGAATAATCTCAGTTCCCAGCCATAATTAAATGATAGTTAGTATTTGTTTTTAATGTCCCTTTTATAAATTCAAATGACTTGATATCTCTGCTCTAATATCAAATGAACCTTTTCCCTCTCTATATGAGTATATTGAAAAGCATTGAGATCTTGTTACAATTTTGTTTTGCACTCAATATACATGTAAGCTTCTTGCCATACTGGGCTTGCATGTGACTGTTACATTTTCTACTATGTGATACACATTCCTATCATTGCATTTTGGACAGTCAAACTTGCTATAACGATCACCTGTCTATGATAAATAATAATAATAGAGAATATTTATTAAGTGCATAATAAATTAGAAATTTCTCTATGCGCTTTAAAATCATGACAAATTTGAATCTATTAACAACATAATAAAGGGAAAATACTGAGTACACTGACAATAAATGAATGTTAACCTTTGATTTTTCCTACCTTTACAGAAAAACTTTTGTTATACAGAAAAACTTTTGTTATACAAAAATTAGACGATGTAGTCTATTGAATTTGAACCTGAGTTCAAGTTTGAGAAATATTTTCAAACATACATACATTTAGATCCATATTTCAATCTATTTGATATTTTCAAGGAATATTACATCCTTCAATCTTTTTCGTTCTCCCTTCTTTTTGCAGGAGGAGGGGTATTTCTGCTACAAGTGATAATGTTTTGTAGTGCTGATTTTAGAGTCGCATCTTAGCCTGTATGATAGCTAATATCAAAGATAATTGAGGCGAGATTTGAGTCTTTTCCAGCAATTAACAATTAGATATGACCTCTGACCTCTGACCTCACAAGATTACTAGACAAGATATCACCTTTTTTTTAATTTTTTTTTTATTCCAGATGCATAATCAAATAGTCCTCAAACATTTGGCTTTCCAAGATAAATTGTCTATCAATCCCTTCTCTTTCATATAACCTGTGCTCTGATTTCTGAGTGCAACAGCTGCTGCTATTCCTTTGTGTTCATTTTGATTCGATCAATTGATCTTGTTTTCTAATCTTGACTCACATAGCGTCACCGTGGTAACAAGACACATGCCTCCTTGGTCTTAATCCTCTAACAGCGGGGCTGGCTTGCGCCATTTGTCGTCGGGGGATTAGGGCAACGTCTCTCGACGGATGCAGCACTTGTTTTCTCTTAATCACTTGTCTTAATCTCCTCTCACAACAACCATCTAAATCAAAGAGAATAATTGCTTCATTTGTAACTTTTTATCTGAATCCCCTTTAAAGGAGATTGGTGACTGTCACAACTGAAAATGTTCATACTTGTAAGATATTGGTACTTTTGCATGAAACTTGGTTTTCTCACCTGGGATTGTTTAAAGGGCAAGTCTTGGTCATTTTGTATCATGAAATAAAGAACTTGATGGTCATTGAAAGTATCTTTATAATTTATAAATACTTCATAATTTGTTTGATCAAAGCTATAACACGGCCATGAACTTGATAAAATCGTCACAGGTATTGAGATCTTTGATGTAGTTAGTGACAAAGGCGACAACATACCTCGGACTTGCCCCCATTCTTAGTGAGCTAGCGTACAAAACTTTTCCGGTTAGTACATGCAGTTTAGATAGGTTTGTGCTACTGGACAGGTGTATTGAAACTTCATTGTTTATAAACAAAGTGCATTGCTTTCAAGTGGATTGCACTTGAAATAGAACAGTACTCGCCACAATTGTAATTAGGTCATCAAATGTTGGTTTTAACTCTGTATGAATCTATTTTAAAGTTGGGTTCAATATCTGTACTATCAAATGACTAATCAGGCTCTCTTTGTGAAAATATTGGCTCCGGTTATATCTATGATCATGTCTCACATAACGCTGTTTGATCCGTGGAGTCATATAATCTGGCAATACTATATCTTTTTTTGGCAGGAATGTCAAAAGTTTGAAGGAGGCCAAATTACCCATCAACCAGCTAAATATAAACTAGTTTTGATATCAATTTCAATTGTTGTAAATAGTTTTGTTCAAACAGTAATGTCACATTTACATGTACTTTCAGTTGGATGCATTTAGCATTTGTTGATAGGTCAACTTATTTGTACCCTGAATGCTTTTTAAATGGTAATAGTTCTTATGGCAATTAGGATTATTGCAGTCCAATAATTTCATATTTATTTTTCCATCTCGATTCAGTCTTTTCGATATGTTGTCCTCCTTGGTTAACTGACATCTCTATTTTTGATGTGTGTAATGGTTATCAGGAAGTTTTGAAACATTTATATTGTGTATCTGAACAAATTGATTGGGCATAGTAATGGTGATTCATATTAAGTACATGGTCAAAGCTTTAACTAAACTTCCAACAGTTTCCTTTGAGACACAGTCTCCCTACAGACTGAGGCACCATGTTCCTTTTAAAGTGACGCTGTGACATTGCCTCAAATTTTGAAACAAAATCCTGGATTAAGCTCATGCTGCAATCATAATTATAAGCCTTTAGGTCAGTCAGGAACCCCATGACTTTTAAAAGCTGATCGCCTGTCTGATCATCAAGATATTTATGATTGGAAATCAAAATTTAAAATTCGTTTTCATAACAGTTTTTATAACACTACAGTCTATTAGGGGAAATGAGTATGGTAAAACCGATCACTCAAAGATTTTTACTTTTTTGAGGCACTTCATGATCATTTTGAAGCAGAATTGTTTTAGGGCTTCAATATTACACCATATCACAGACACTGATAACACGTATGGCCATGCATCTCAGATTTAACATTGTTAACCGATGCCCATAAGAGTGTGAAGACATTGTTTTGCCAGCGGCATGTGATTTGGCAAGTGAACCCATGCTGTGTCACAGCCTTGTTTGGCTCCCACCCAAATCAGTCTAACTTGACAAGAATAAAAAGAATTCTTTAAAGATTTAATTGGTCTGTGATTGTTTTCACCGAACCATTGTCTGCTGGATCTCTTCCTGTTATTGTCTGTTACATGATCATGTCCGTGTTCTCTCAGCTCCCCACTTTCATAATCACCTCATGTACCAAATTCATACATGACATATTCATATTGAAGTCTCATCTTTTAAATAAACCCTAGACAGTTTTCATGTTTTCATGCGACTTGAAATATCAACATTCATGAGCCTCACAATAAGCATGGGATGTTCTGTTTCTGTCTTCTGATAAAATGTTTTCTTTTTCAGAAAAAATGAACTCTATTTGGTCATTATTATATTTGAGAATATCATATATATATACATGTATGTATATATATATTTATAAATAAACATGTTTGTTTTCTTTTGAAAGTAATTTTTGTGCTTAGATTTAATTTATCAGTATTCATCTGGTCCATTGTACGACATATCCTCCCTTCACAATTACTCCACTGTCAATGTCCTACACTAACTGAATTCCTAATTTCAATCATGGACCAAAAGCTATACCCAACCCTAAACCCATATACAGTTGTTTAATTCTAAACCTAATCTAAAACTCAATTGCAACTCTAACTGTCACCTTACTTCTCTGACAAGATTAAACCTGGAGCCATTGTTGCTATGTCGGATTACCCTAAAGTCATGGGTCGTGGGTTTGAACCCCGGCCGCATCATACCAAAAGACGTTAAAAGATAGGAGATGTTGCTACCTTGTTTGGCGTTCAACAATAAGGGATAGAGCAACGTCGATCTGGCGCTGCTCAGTGGCTGCCAGGCTCACGATCAATTGGGCAAAAAGAATTTCCGTTTCGGTTTAATAGAATTTGGAGAGGACTATTAGGCTATTATTATTATTATTATTATTATTATTATTATTATTATTATGCCATGAGCTAACATCTCTCCTTACACCCTCCTATAGGCATGAAACGTACTTCAAGTCGAAGGAAGAGTGGAGAGCAGCCCCATCTACCAAAAGGGGGCGCCCAGATCTTCGCCAAACAGTTCAAGAACGTGATCAACAGCCAAGACTACCTACAGACACCAGACGCTGGGGTATCAGGGTAAGATATTATACAAGTAATACACAGCAGTGAGGGCATTAGTAAGAATTACCCACAAAACATGATTTTACTAATGACCGGTACAGACACCAGATGCTGGGGTGGCAGGGTAAGATATTATACAAGTAATACACAGTAGTGAGAGCATTAGTAAGAATTACTGACAAAACATGATTTTACTAATGACCGGTCAATAGTAAAATTACGTGTTAGGCAAAATAAACGCCTGCACGCGCTAACCAATCATTTGATAAGGATCCGCTTCATCATCTTAACACATTTTATAGTGCCCAATATGGAAGCAAGATAACTACCCCTCTGGACAATCACCTATATGACAACTACATCCCCTCCACCTAGACAACTACTCTCTTAAAAAAGATTCCCTAACCTGGGGAGAATTTTCTGTGGGAAAAAGTTGTTTGGCAGTCAATTTTGGGAAGGATGATATTGGAGAGAGGGCGGTGTTACTGGAAGCAGATGTCTTGAATCCACCTAAATAATATACATCGTACAAGCTCTTAATTGCTGCATCAAAAGCATGGTATTCACATTCTCCATGTAATGTACATGAAAGGTTTTATCCAGTCACACCCCTTAATCAATGAATCGTATTGGGGCTTTCTTTCCCATAATTCAACTAACAATTTTATGAATGCCGATTTGCTCTTCATTTACAGGCAAAAACGTAGGACCATAAAGGGCAGCCGCCCTGCACCTGGAGCTGGTAGACCCAAGCCCAAACCACAACCACCAGCCCCGTCCAGACCAAAGTGTCGTACCATCTACCCCTACGATGCGGGCGATACGGATGAGTTGTCATTCGGAGAAGGAGAGACTATAGAAATCATTTTGGAAGGTAAGTTGAGTGTTGGATTGCATCATGTTAAGGAGGGGAGGGTGAAGGAGAAGGGGAAGGATTTGAATATTCAGAATGTGATTTTATTCAGTAGTTCATTGTGATATGCAAATCAAAGAATACAAATTTAAGATAGCAAAGACAGTATTAAAAGCAGAGAGACAGGGTCAAAATAATTAACATGACTTATGAAAAGAACTGGACTTAAATTAATCCCTGTGGAACACCATATGAAATTGATTTGAATTGAGCTTTTAATTTGAGGATGGGATGCATGGGAAGGGTCATTGTGATGTGGGTAATAAAGACAGGTTGTGTTTCAGAGAAGGAGAGATGGTTGAAATTGTTATAGAAGATGAGCTGATTGCACATCTTAATGGAGGAGGGGGGGGGGGAGGAGGTTGCAATCTGCTCTGCCATAATTATTATGATACGGGTGAGAAAGAGAAGTCGTTGAAGTCATCACGTGAGATGAGCTCTTCTTGTGACTTTTGCCCCTCCCTTCACCCCCTCACCCCCTCTTGAACCCATGTACTAACATGTAACACCATGATAGATCTAAGCATGATGCATGTAGCCTTAGATGCAAGTGAAAAATTTTAATGCTGCCTCCTGACATTGATTAAGACACTTAATCGTTCATGTTACCCATACCAGATTTCATTAAAAGTGTGGTATAAATAACATTATGAAGTTGTTTTTCAAAAAGAAACTTCATGTTCTTTTAGATATTTTCTTTGAATTTCTCAGATGAGACAGACCTTTTCTCTTGAATGCTATTTAGTTGAAAGAAAGGAAATAATACACATTTTCTGATATAAGTTATAACTGGATGAAGTCTTTGTTTGACCTTCATTGTTTACTCATCAAGATTGTAAGAAGGAAATCTCCTCTAATCTTTATAATTCTTTGAACTCAAGTAATTGTCACAGCATTTAATGCAACATGTAACTAAACCTTGTTGGGTGGGGGGGGGGGGGGGGGTTCTTTGTGGTCAAAATAAAGAATAAAAAACACCTGCCAGTTAATTATTGCCAGAGCCTTGAGCACTCATAGCACAGCCACAGAAGGCCAGTAATTTTCATTCAGTAGGTAGTACATTCATCAAGATAGAACCAGTAAATGATCATGAGTATTATTCAGATATTTCTCTCCGAGCTGTGTTTAATCTGTAAATGTTAGGTTAAATCTCTTCAGGATTGAGAGCTAGACATTACAATCCCCTGGTTCCGGTCAAAGTGTCATTTTTCTAGAACAAAGAGAGGCAGAGAGGGTGAGTGAGTGAGATTTAGAGAGAAAGGGGAAAAAAGGAGAAGAACAATATAGAGATGTAAAGAGGGAAAGGGAGAAATATGTTACAGATAGATGAGAGATGGTGGTCACATGTTTCAATTTCACATACTTTTTTTTTATATCATAGTTGTAAAACTATGTGATGCTGCACATTTGGATTTGGATAAGAGAGAATAGAATTAAGAGGCAGACAGAGACAACTAGAGTAAATGTGTGGTTTTGTGTTTGTGTGTGTGTGATAGAGAGAGATAGAGAGAGAGAGAGCAGGCGATAGAGACAAGAAATAGACAGATACACAGACGTACAGAGAAAGACAAAGGGAGAGTTAGAATAGGGGAGCAAAGTTTTTTATATTCATTAATTAAGCCGATTCTTATGACCAGCATCTAAGTAGATGTCCTTTTAAAGTTTAGAAAATAGGAGTCAAATAGGCATAGGAATAACAATGAATGAATGAATATAGGTTTTAAACAAAGAAAGACTGACAAAGAAAGAAAAACAGAGAGCCCAATTGTTATAAAATCATTCATAATGCCTTTCAGCAAATCTCTCTTTTCCCCGTTGAAAATCAAGCAAACATTATCTATATTTGAATTCATGATACAATCAATGAGTAATATTAGCAATGACTATTAATGCTAATGAAACAAAGCCACTGACGAGGTCACATTGAAGCCTTTGCCCCTCCAGCTTAGGGAACCACTATGCCTTCAAACATATATGATATTACTCATATCAGTAATTAATATCAATTAGGCGAGTCCTTGAATACGTCTTTGAAAGACTTGAGGCACTTTAGATGTGATTGTGAAGGTAGTGTGACTCAACATGGCTTGAATACTCTTAGATTAATCACACAAAGACCACTAGACAATAGACATATGTGTTTTGATACAGCAAGTGTCTTTTGGGTGTGTTCCCGTTTTTAGAGTTCATGTCAAATTCAATGGATCGCGTCATGCTGCCTCGATCAGATCAGGCTTTAGAAGTCACCAAATCTAGGATTTGAATAATAGGCTCATCGGCAAAATCTAGAGATTACGAGTTTGATGACAAATAAATGAGTAATGGATTTGGCTCTTGTGCAGGGTGTCCATACATACGTGAACTGTTTGAGTGTTACCCATCACATCCTACCTTTCTAAAACCGTGTTATGTTTCTTAAAAGTGACTCTGTAACATTGCCTCAGATTCTGAAACAATATCCTGGATTTAGCTCATGCTGCACTCATAATTATAAACCTTCAGGTCAGTCAGGAATCCCATGACTTTTACAAGCAGATCGCCTGTCTGATTATCAAGATATTTATGATTGGAAATCCAAACTTAATTTTTTTTATAACACTACAGTCTATTGGGAAAAATGAGTATGGTAAAACCACTCAAAGATTTTAAATTTTTTGAGGCACTTCATGATCATTTTGAAGCGCAATTTTTTAGGGCTTCAATATTACACCATATCACAGACACTGATAACATTTTTAACTGATAAATGATGCCTTTAAGGTAGTTTTACCCTGGAAGAAAATGAATCTAAAGGAAACAATTAATATTTACACCTCAATAGGAATACCCTAGACATTTAAAGGATGGGGTGTCTGATAGTTTCTTATGTAAGCTGGAATGATTGTTACTGATATTTTAGCAAATCTTTAGGAGACACATATTGTGTTAAGGCAAATTGTAGGAAGAACTAAATGGGACCATTTATATGCCCAAGGGTTATACATAGATCATAGTAGCTTGTACTTGTGTCCTTGCATAAAGTTGTTCATGTTTATGGAAGTCCTTTCATGCACTCATCATTGATGATCATATTTTGTCCTTTAGACCAATTTGAAAATACTTTGGCTAGGAAAAATGGACAATAGTTATTTAGGAACCACTAAATTAAAGTGTGAAACATAGTTTTATTTACTTAAATGATAGGTCGTAGAAGGGTGTGCATAGAAGTGTAAGTAGTACACTATCAGCAGCAAATTGGCAAATTGAAGATATTGGAAAGGTCTGAATGTGCTGGCAATGAGACATCTATATTAGACATTAATCATGTGTAGTGGGAAAGGTATAGTCAGGTATAAGTTACAAATTACAATTTCCATTGTTCATGTGCTTTGGCAGGCTTTCATTGTTGCTTGTAATCTATGAAGGTAACATTGTTTACCCAAGTTAGGTTGAGTTTTATCTGAATATAATCTTTTGACTCAATTGAAGGCACATGCACTGAAAGGGGGCAGCTTCGGGTCATACAAAATAGAAGTCCCATAGATTAATGGTATAGATATACCTAAAGTTTACAGGTTTCATGTGGTAGTTTTTTGTAGTAGTAGATAATTGGAAATCAAGCTTCTTCTTACAAGCTTTTTGAGTTTACATTCTGAAGCATTTGAATAAGAAGAAAAGAAGAAGAAATTTGTCTTATTTAGTGGCCTCTAATAGTCATGAGGCTAAATCAAAGAAGCTTGTATGAAGGTTCTTTGATTCCCTTTATTGAATGGTGCTAAGAACTAGGCATAGATCTGGCACCATTTCAAACATAACACCCAGGAAATGGAGATATCAAAAAGAGGTTGTGATCCAGGGAAACTTACTTCTTCTAATTTTAGCCCAAGTAAGAATGTCACGTTGATAAAGATCAGAAGAGGCTTCTCAAATTGCTATTCAGGCTTAAGTATTAGAAGGAAAAGGAAAGAATTTCTTTCCTCCTAAAAGTATTGTGAGTATTGGTCATAAAGGCTCTAAATATAGAAAAGGAATTCCTCATTTTTCACCAAAAGAGGGAAAAATTGACGTGGGGTGTTGAGATCATCATGTTCTAAGGCAAGCTTCATATCCTGCCATAGTCAAAAGAAATTAAGTTTGAATCTATTGAAAGATGATCTATGTGTTGTGGTATTAATCTTCATACTGCATTACAAAACTCAATCACAAAGGCTTTAAAGAAATCAAACATAGGGTGATCTGAGTACTGTTTTGTATTGTCAGACTATTTAATATGTCATTGTTATGTTTGAGCATTTAATTAGGTGATACATTAGGATTTTTATACTTAAATCAATTTATTGAAGGTCTTTGCAACCTTGTTAAAAAAAATAGTAGATTCAAATTTATTATAGGATAGGTTTATATTTTTTCAATTGAATTCATGATGTTAATATTATCATGATTATCACTGAATTGATGGTAAATATTTCTGAATGTAATTGGAACTACATGATCGCTTCTAAAGATTATGGAGCTAAATCTGAGTGGAACAATGAACCTATTTACTGATATTTTAATCTAGTGTAATCATCAGATCTAAATGAACACCCCCCCCCCCCCTTAGTAGAAATGGACTAGTCATAAACTAACTCTCATTTTTAGATGAATGACAGGTACAATCTAAAGGGTAGCGCAATTAGCAACTCAATACATGTGTCTGCTTTACACAAAAATATATCCTTATTTTTTTTAGGCTCATTTGTTTCCATCTTGCCAAACAAACTCCCCCGATTATACAAATTTCTTCAGATTATCAAAATTTGGCAAAAATCCCAGTCTTATCCTATGCTTTCCTGATTCTGAGGAAAGTAACTGCATGTAGGATGGTAGATAGATGAAAGCTAAAGATTGATGCTAAAAATATTTAATAGAAATGTCAAAGAGGAGAATACTTCCTTAGATAGAGAGAAGGGTTTCGTCATTGCAATCGGCTGATTCATCACTCTTCCAAGAATGACGGAACTGAGAAGGTCTTATGAAAATCATCTTATCGATATGGGCCAGATGGAGAAAAATCCGCAACCATGATCATAACAAAAACTTGTTAATAGTAAACAGTCACAAGTATTATGCATAATTAGATATTTCTAAGTTCTATATGGTAATTCCAGTAGAGTAGTTATTTCTTCAAATAGTTGCAGTTTGTCTCCCATGAATATGCCTTAGCACGAAAAATCCATACGCTTTTGCACTTTGCATTTAATAGATGTGAATGGATATTGTTTTGCTGCTATTTCAGGGTACTAGTAGTCTAATTTTTTGTTGTCACCGAGGGATCTATAAGCCTATAGTCCTGCATGTCACTCACATTTTTGAAAAGGCATTTCATACAAGGCATGAACTAAAGCAGAAGTGGGCAAAGGGAAAGATAGGGGTAAAAGTGTGAATAAATGTAGAAATTTGCTTGATGGGTGAGGCATTGTAATAATGAACTTGTTAAATTCAAATGCTGTCCTGCTGTCATCGGTCTTCATGATTATTGTGTTGAGTGATTATTCAGATTGGTCGTGCAACTTCATATGTACACTCCCTCTCTGGCCCCATCTACATATCCTGCTATTTGGTACTAGGCATAGCGAGACCTATCGATATCTTACCACAAATCTCTTGTGTCAATTAGGTAACTGTTCTTGTATTAGTAGGAATCTGGGTGAGTTTTTTTGTTGTAAGTTATGACCTAGTTTGGGTTTCCACAAACAAACTATTTTTTTGTCTATTTAGATTGTATTTTAGGTATCAAATGCTAGCTCACAAGAGAGAACATTCTGTGACTATGTCTGCCCAAAAATATAGTTAAGCTTGTTTTTTTTAGCCCCACAACCGTCGGCTGTGATATACAGTCAAACGCGTTTGAGTAGCCACCTCTTTATGATGGCTGTCTAGATTCTCTATAGTACAAGTCAGAAAGAGTATTCACTTTCAAATTCCTAATGTTTGACAATGAAAGTTAAAGATGAAGTTGAGTTCTGGTCATGCGGTTGCATTGTGAAAGAAACGGTGTGGAACCGACCAGAAAAGGTTGATCATCTAGCATATAAGAATGTGTTTGTATTGCAAGGTTCTGGAATCATCAAAATGATAAGAAATGTGGCCAAGTCTTGGTAAAGTTACAAACACTTGCACAGAAAGATGTATATGGAACTACACGAACACGTGGCATAAAAAGCCGGCCCCCCCCCCCCCGATTTTTACGATGTTATATGCATATTTAGAATATGAAGGCATTTGAAGAGCCAAGCTTTTGAGGGAACATGTCTTAACTGATGTTCTTCCACACTTGCATAATAAGAATGAGTAATGCTCACAAATTATTTTTCACCTCTTCCCAGAACTCAACCTTCTCTTTAAGAAAGTGATTTGTATGTCATGCATTCATGGAACCTCAAAGACATGTTTCATAATCCTTTTTCTTTGTTTCTTCTTCTTTTTTTCTCTCAGATGCCTCTGGTTGGTGGAGAGGTAAGCTACGAGGGAGAGAGGGACTCTTCCCGGCCAATTACATTGAAAAGATTTGATGACATCATTCACGACATCATCATAGATAACTCTGCATGTTATCATGCAGTCATCATACTAGTATCTTACATTGTATTTAATACATGGTGGGAATAGATTTTTATTTGCACTAGCATCTGTGCTTCTTGGCTATTGACATTTGTTCAGACGGCGATTGCTCTTGTTTGAATTCAACAGCAGTATAGGGTTAGGGTTACAAATGCAATCAGGTTTTCGGTCATTAGTATTAGGTATATAGGGTTAGTTTTAAGGTTAGGTATAATATTGGGTCCAGGTTGAAATTAGGAAATGACCACAGCGTAATTGTTGCAGGAGCATGCCTGTGTCATACAACCCTCTTCTGGTATATTTGACAGAGTAATATGCGGTACATAAAATGTAACTTTCGTTGAGGTTGCATATGTTAGTAGATAGAGTCACAGTGTATGGAATGAGATTTATACCATGCACAAAATCTTGGATCATTACTATGAAATTATCATTTTTTTTAATATCATCTTTTTGCAGCTACACATGCAATTATTAAATCTATATCGTCTGCTCAGAGACAGAAAGGCATAATCTTGTATCTTTACAGTTTAATACGATATTTCCCTTCTGGATTTTTTAAAATAAAAGACTTTTTCTTATTGAATAATTGATGCACTTAGACACTACCAAATTGATTTTCTATATTTCTTTCACATTGTCACAATCATGACCAAATAAATGTGCAGTATAGTTGTATTTTATACACATAGATTGGATTGTGTCAGAGTTATTATATCATATATTGGGTTTTTAAAAGATACATTGTGTATGAGTTCTGTTTTTCCTGTTTCAAAGAAACTTTGGCTGGTCCAAGCATGGCAAAGAACTGTTTCACAATGAATATATACTACAACCAAAAATTATAATTTTTGTTTTTCTGATGTTGATAGTGATAGACATAGTATTGACATTTCCAGTCTTTCATTTCATTTCATTTCAGGATGATTACATTTTAACAAATTACAATGAATGAAATATTCCAAAGCTTATCATTTGTTAATACCAAAATTTATATCAGCTTTAAAATGAGATACAAATTATTGTTTTTTTTGTTGATTATATTGCAGCCATTTAGTTTGTGCATTTGTCTATATTCTCATTTTTAAATGAGTTCTTTTTTGCTTTGTTTGTGTTGAATTTACTTATTTTATTTACTTTAATTCAATACTTATTATTTCAGTTGAAAAGAGGCTATTACTTGGCAAAATCATGAATACTTCATCAAAGTACCTACCAAATAATGGCCTCCTTTGTAGTTTGGCCAACTCATGACAAATGACTGCCAATCTTCATACGAGTTAGGGAATGTCATCTAATGATCATAAGTCATTTGTATGGTGGTCTTTATATCCAGGTTTCAGTGGATATGCACTTGCACTTATCTAACTTGAAGCATTGGCTAAAAAATCAATAGATTTAAATCCATATACCTGCAGGGATCCTGTGGTCATGGAAACACCTGGAAAGTCATGGAAAATGAAGAAGAAATCAAACTCCCAAAGTCATGGGAAGTCATGGAAATTGATATTGGGTGTGGGCTGTGTGTGTGGCTATGGCAGCCTTCCAGTTTGAATTGACAGTTGGTATTTGTGCACCGCTTGGATGTCGCAAACCATACCAAAATGGTACTTTAAAAAAAATGCAAGAATGGGTCCTGGAAAAATCTTGGAAAGTCATGAAATTTGGTTCTCAAATTTCTATGGTAACCCAAAAGGCACATTTACCTCTCATTTTGTTCATTAGATGTTTATTATTTCCATTGCTGCATAAACAGTGCTTTCACATTCTTACATGTATTGTACCTTCTGATATGAATACACCTTGATCATCTGTATGAAGTGTTTGTGATTGAAAAGGTTTTCGTTTTATGTTATCAGTTACAGTTGATGGTTGTTTTTAATCTTAAATATCATGGGCTCTATTCTTCAAATTATGTTTTTTTTTTTTTAATTATATAACATTTGTAAGAAGTTTGTTCAGTATCATAATAAAATGAAATCAGGCCTCTTTTTGAAATTATTGTAGGCTGTGCAGTGTCTCACTGCAATACATGCACATGACATCCAAATTAAAAAAAGATCATTGTTTTCAAAATACTGCCCAGCTTCACATATTATTTTCAATTTGTCATATTTCTTTTCTTTTTGTGTCCATGTAAACTTATGATATACTAAATAATCTAAAGAATATTCGTAATGGGGACATGGCTATGATACCAAACTTTTCCAGACATTCACCTCAAATACACCATTTTACAGCAGTGCCAATAGAAATATATGTTGGATTAATCCAGTAGATTAATATGTATTCATATATTACTATTGGCAGAGCACAGCACTTGGTAATTGGACCTGGCTTATGAGCAGAAAATTGGTTTTAGAATGTGACTTTGTGTGAAGGAACAGACATAGAATTATATCTCATGAATCAATGATATAAAATTGTGGTTCGTACATTTAAATCAAGTGAAAACCTCCAATGAGTTTAAATATCTGATCAGGATGCTTTAGAACTGTATTTAGAAATATGGTACATTATGAATACATATATTTAATCTGTGGTGTGGATTTGTTATTGTAAAATTGATCAGCTATAATCATAAATTGATATAATGATTATGGATGTATTTGTTTTGTATGTGATAATTATATTTTGGCATTTGACAAGAAGAACACATAACTTTTTTTTTCTACATTAGAGGAATTATTTCTGTACAGGTAGGATTTTAATATAACCAATATGAATGAGATATCTATTTTTATTATTTGTAGCAGAATTAAATAATGGAATGTATTTTTGTGATCTCTTTGTAAATTCTTCTAATTTCAGGAAATGTAAAAGATTAGTATATTGTGCCTTGTAGTATATAATATTTTCATATAACATTGTCTTGCTTTGCCTACTTTCAGTTCTAAACATTCCTCTCATTTTCATCTCATGACTTTCAAGAAGAGGAATTTCTATTTTCTGGAATATGATATTTTTTGTATTTCTCATCATGTAATCATTGTCCAGTTATGTATATTTTAGTCCAGTTTACATGTTTAAGTAGAAAACAGTATTTTGTGGCAGAAAGGTTTAAATAATTATTCTGAATTATTTATTAAAGCTAATACATACCTGTTAGAATGAGGAAGAGATGAACCACCCCTTATTTGTTCAATACTTTGTATATATATATATATACTTCTAGAGAGTTCTAGAAAGTCTCGATAAATCCTGACCAAAATCATGGGGTCCGTATATTCTCCATTCCTTTGCACACTGTAACTGTAGGCACTGTGATAAACATATTTATATAGGATTGTACGCACAATACATTTGATAAGTGCAACAAATATATCCTTGAAAAATACAGTTTACCAACATATTTTACCCCGATGGGGAAGCTAATTTGAAATATGTATATAATATAGAAAAATTGAGTCATCTAAATTAAACAGAAATAACTTTGGATTCTAGCGAATTAGAGAAAGATTTATAGATCATCATTTTGAATGACCTTATGACAAAATGCAGCAGGGCAAGATAGTTTGAACTAAATGTAGGTAGGGGTTTAACTGGACTGTCTTTCCAGACCAAAAATTGAAAATGACTCGAGAAACTATGTAAGCATTTGGACCGATTATAGCTGTCATGAATGTCATGCTATAGAGATAGACCACACTAAATCTATGCCCCGCCAGACAGTGCTTGGACTGATCTTACTGGGAGACCTTAACATCTTCTCCCCTCAATTGCCTGATTAAAGGTTCAAAGATTTTCTCTTGAGATGTGAAGTTGATGCATGACACAAAATGATCTTAAAGTAAAAAGGTTTATAGGATAGAAGTTGGTGAATGAGTTTTGGCCATGAACTGTGTATGTACATTTATATTGATGTGTACTATAGTGAAATGTTGAAGTTATTTTGAGTATGCCTTAGGTGGCATCCTGGATGTATTGAGAGAAAAAAATATATATTTGGTCTTCTACTCATTCTTGCTTTGTTTGTAATTTGGTGACACTTTGATGTGTTTACTTCTGCATAAAAGGACTCTAGTAGAATATAATGTGATTGTGATTTTATTTGCAACATTGACTTATGGTTACACTAGCTTTATGATCATTGACACAAATAATTATTGCTAAAAGTGGTATTTTATTGTAATATTTCAAATGCAAATTCCTTTATGCAATAATTTGAATAGTGAATTTGAAAATGTAATTATGCTATAATTATGTTAAAGGTATGTAGTCTTTCATGAAGATGAACAGAAATTATGTGGTCTTCATGATCTCTTTGAATCTATCGCAATGAGTAGAGGCAATACTAGGTAGTTTTATGCGAAATGTCTCTTTTCTGTATCTATTTTTCTAGCCTTAAAAGAATATTAAAGATTGTTTTCATCAGTGAATATTGCTCCCGTTTCATCTTTACATTTTTTTTAAACACAAGTGGGGATGATGATGAGTATGTCGAGTATTAAGACATTTAAATTGCAGTTGATTTATGAAAGAGCAGTTGTAATGATGCCACAGACGGGAGGAAAGTCACAGACTTCAGATAGTATATTGTTATATCGGATAAGACTCGGATTCAGTCATGTGAAAATGTGATAGAACAAACCTAGTAAAATTATGAGGTTAATTATTTTGTTGTTTAATTTTTCAATGGAGAATGGAGACATTGAATAAGTTGTAAGTTTTCTTGTTCCATGAATATAAATATTCCTGAAGGATGATCATTTTCGTTACCATGATCATCATCACCATCTTTCTTATCGATTTGGTCTTGAAACGTCAAGATACCTTAAGAATTACACCTTTTCACTAAATTACTTTCCGTAACCAACATGGTCTTTTGCCGATGGTAATGCCATGCCGAGGCCCAAACCTTGTCCTTCCTATCTCAGCCAAGCGTACAAACCGCTCGTCTACGACATCTCATGTCCTTTATCATATTACTACAAAAAATTGACCTTACGATCATGATTGATATATAATTACGAGGAAGTAAGGCAGGACACAATTTTATTCAAATTTACTTTCCATTTTGGTCTGTCATGCCGCTCCATGTTTTTACTGGTGTGGGTTTTATGGTGCGCTTTTTACATCTATCACCAAGCGAAGCTTTATCTCATCTCGTCATAAATTCTTCGCTTTATCGCTGTGCTGCAACCCGCGAGTGTCTGTCATTATTTCGTGCGATTCGTCGGTATCTATCTCTCCGCCTCGGAAACTCGAACAAACTTTCTGCATGTGATTGTACATGCTTTTTATGTTTCTTTGTAACATGAAGTGTGAAATATCACAGGATTAAAGGGTATTTCAAACGGATTATGTCATTCTTTATGCTTTTCTTTCGACATGAATGTTTAAAGGAAGAAACACTTCAACAAACCGAGGCGCCATATTACATATTCGTTAAGTTTAAAAAAAAATTAGCGGCCCAGTTTATCACCCTGCTTTCAAACACCAT